CAACAAGGCAAACACCCGGCGGTATTTGTTGCCAGTTTATTCAGAGTTTCTAGTGGAAAGTAGGTTGTGAAAGTTCCCTCCCACTGTGAGCACGACAACTTCCAGATAGCAAACACTTTTCAGATGAGATTGGTAGAGATATTAACATATGTGGTTTTTTTTGATCCGAAGAAATGTAGCAACATTTGGAAGATTGGCAGCAGTCAATAACTAATATTTTCTAAGTGACTAATGTTACAGAATTTTTCTTGGGTAGAAGATCCAGTCAATGTGTGAAGACAGACAAGTAGATTTAAATGTAACAAAGAAAAGTTCATATCTGTATTACAGCTGACCTTTGAGAAGCTGCCATTTGGCAAGTTTTTTTTAATCAAAGAAGAGTGTTCACAATTATCCCAAAAGGCTTCTTCCACTACGTATTTGTGAAGTTTGTTTTTTCTTCAGATACTTTACCACACTGCGGCGAGTTCAATGAGAAAGCAGATATGAGAATCCAGATGTCTTCTAATAAGCAAAATATAGTACAGTGGCTTTCTCCCCATTACATGTGCTTTTTAAAATATAAAAGTAGTGTTTATAAACTCAGGTTGCTTTTGCTAACTTGTGATGGGTATATTATTGTTATTTTAAAATACAGATACTTTAAATTTTCTCATTTTCACTTATGGAATGGCAAATATCAGTAGCTATAACCTACATAAACAACCTACGTATACCAAAGGCTCTTGGAGGTTCTCAATTTTTAGAGTGTTCTGTACTCCTGAGATCAAAGTTTGAGGACCACTGATCTACCTCTGTTCCTTTCGGACATAGTTCATTATGTTATTTAACAAGAGGTTTTTTGTTTCCCTTTTCCTGTTTTACCCCTTCTGGGTCTTGGATGCATCCTTTTTACCATTTATGCACGTATTTAAGGTACTATTTCTCCCACTTCCTAAAATCAGCACACTGTGACTAAGTCAGTATTTGATTTCTAAATGTACACAATTCTGCTTTGAAAATAACATTCTTCCCTCCTGTGGAGCTGAGTCTAGCATTTTTGTCCATAGGTAGCTGGACACGGAGGTGGAGTTTTCTTACGCACTGCTGAGTATTTGTTTTGTGCTGTGTGTAGTGACTGAGCACTGGTGCAGGAGCCAAGCGTGGTGGCCGGGAAGTTTCTCTGTGACCCTGAGCTGCTCATCCTTTTGCCCTAGCTGCTGATCTGTGAAGGGAGTGTCACTGCTTCCCACCATGACTAATGCAGACTCATTTGAATGAAAAAAAATTCAGATCCTTTCAAGTTAATTTAGGTTCTACTACATTGTTACTAATCGTGTGTGTGTGTGTGTGTGTGTGTGCGCGCGCGTGTGTGTGTGTGTAAATGAGTAAAATGCTTCATAATTTTCATGCAGTCATAAAACTGAAAAGAAATTACAAACCATTACAACTCCAAATGGGCATTGTAAGAAGTAATGATGTCTTGCTGAGTCTAAATCTTTGGCAGCATGAACACAGACTCGCACTAGGATCTGTTCTTATTTAAAAATGGTATTTTATCAGCGCATGCTAAGTGCACATCTTTATGGGGTGCAGTGTGCTATTTCCCTGTATAGACAGTCTGTAATGACGTACTGTGTCGGCAGTGTGTAATTAGCCTATCTGTTGTCTCAAACATTCACCATTTCTTTGTGTTGGGAATATTCAACATCCTTTCTTCTAGCTATTTTGAAGTGTATAATTATTGTTAATTGTAGCGACCCTACTGTTCTGTAAAGCAGTAGAACTTTCTCTTCTTACCTGTGTTTTGTATCCATTCACCAACCTTTCCGTTCTCCCCTCCCCTTTCCTTCCTCAGCTTGTGGTACCTACTGTCTTATTTCCTCATTCCTTATCGAGCTGCTACCTGTGAGGGAGGTGTCACACTCAGAGTCTCTTGGTGCTTGGCTGATTTATCTAACACATTGGGCCCCTTTCATTCATCCTGTCCTGTTGAGCTTGTGTGTGCTAGGACTCCCCCACTCTTGCAGCCCATCAAACTGAAGCAAACCTGGACCTTGGCACCACTGTGATGTCATGTACCAGGTGAAAATGCACTGTTGACTTCTCTCATCCTGTTCCATTATTTTCTGATTGGCCGGGACATCAACTGTAGGGCATCTTGATTTTTATAGTGGACACAAATGTAGAAGTGGGTCCTGAAACTGCATGGGGGTACTCAGTTCCCAGGGCAGTGCACAGAAAAGACCTTCGCAGGCTCTGTTTGCATTAACTGATTTCGCTGAAATGAAGACGTGCTTTAGAGGTGAAGCGCCCATAGGAAGGGCTGTGTAAGCAAATGTGCCGGGCTGCTTCCCGTGTAGTTCATGTTTGACAGTGGTGGGGCTGGGCACGGACAACTGCTGCGCCCGTGGCTGCCCTGGCTCAGACTTTCCCCTTCCCCACAGCCCCGTGTGTTGCAAGAGCTGCAGATAGAGACCACATGTGAATTGTGTCTGTTTTGAGCTTACAGACTAACAGTGTTCATGTCCAGCAGATGATGATGGTTCTCACTATTCTTCTGATGCAGATCATGTATACGATGTGTTCACATAAGGAAATTTACAAACACAAGTGGACTCGGGGTTTTATTGTGGCCGGGCAAATCCAACGAATCATCCAGTGTCCGAATTTGGGGTTGGAATGTACTTCTATGTGGCTATTTTATTATGGATAGTATGTTCTGCTTTTGGTTCTTAGGTTTCTACTTTTTTCCTTTTAATCCCTTTTTTCTTTTCATGGTCCCAGTGGTGGAACCCAGGGCTTTAAACACCTAAGTGAGTACTCTGCCTTTGAGCTACACCCCAGGCCCTTTGTTTTTTAATTTTCAAATTTTGAGGCAAGGTCTTGCTGAGTTGTCCAGGATGGCGAGAACTTGGGATGTGCCTGCTTCAGCCTCCCAGCTTGGTGGGATTATGGGTGTGCACCATCCTGCCCGGCTGTACCATTTTTTAGGCTTTCTCAAGTGAGATAGTAGTGCTTCTTTTAGACTTAATCACAAGGTGTGGAGGGGAAAGAAGGAGGGTGAGTTGGAGATTGGTATATAGAGTTGCTTAACAGCTGAGTAATTAACAACTCTATAACTGGAAGGTAATGAACCCAGGTCCAAGTCACATTATCCTGATTGTCCTCAGTATTTTAAACACTCCTGCTCCCTAGTTTGGTGACTTTTCTGCTTATGTTTTTCATGTGATGATTCTGGGAATAATTTTGGGACTAGAGAACTTTCCTTATAATAGCACTGCTATGTGAACACACAGATTTTAAAATGTATATTATTGTGAACTTACTCTGAGAGTGACTGTATAGTTCTTACTGGTGTGTTTCTTTATTTTTGGCACAAATTCTAAGCAGTGATGACTGTTACATACCTAAAAACCAGAAATTATCCCCTATAATTTCATGTATATGTATCTCCAAGAAAATTAAGATAACTACCAACAGTATTACATTGGATTCTGGACATTCCCCCTGTGGGACTGTTGCTTGGGCTGTATTACCGTTATCAAGTCCCGGGGAGGTACAAGTAAATGTTCAATGCAGGATTGCTGTGGTTCATACACATCTGTTTTTTCTGACCATTTTTGAGTCTGGAGACCACTGGGGTTTGACAGCTGTTTCAATATGATCTTCAAATACAGCCTTTTACATCCTCAATGACCTTCGTACTGCACTGTTGACTAATGTTTCTCATTGAATGAGTTTACTACTTCATAATTAAAATTTTTGTCAGAGTTTTAAAAATAGATATTACTTGTATTTTAGTTTTTGAAAACATTGTAAACAAAGATCTGTGTCTTATGTTGATCCTGCTTTTGAGTGATTTCCTTTAGTGTGTGTGCCTTGAAGTTCTGATTCTACCTGTGTTGGACTCCACACTTTTGTTCTTTTCTCTGCTTTTCCTACTTTGTTTCTTCTCTGCTATAATAGTGATCCAGTCTGCCAGGTTGTTTTCAACATTGCTAATACAAATGTTCACCTGGATATGTTATTGATTTTGCTAAAGCACTTGTAAACAACCTGTTCTTCTATGTGAATAAAGTTGCTAGAATAATCTTTCATGTAATTGTGTATGAGTGTATATGGAAAAAATTCTGTACTAGTATACTACTTACAAAATTGTCTTATAGATATGAACTATGCTTGTGTTTATACTTTCTGATAAAACTTTATTGAACACAGAAGCATTTAATTCAAAAAATTCATTAATAGTATAGCCAAACATTGTCTAGATTCTATATTTTAAATTCAGTAGACTTACAACTAAAAGTGAGATGAAATTTGTTTAGTTGCTTAGATTTGTTACTGAATTTTTTATGATGTAAAGCTGATTTGGAAATACTGGGGTAGTAAGAACAATAATGGTGGTTGCAGTGCCTCTGTATTGGATGAACTCTGAGTACCAAGTACTGTTGACTCATTTAGTGCTCACGATACTTTCATGAAAGAGAATTTGTTTTTTTGTCCTTCCCGTGGGGACCAGATGCCCAAGGACAGCTGGACACCTGTCTAGTGCCACAGAGTTCATAAGAGGAGATGCTCCAGTACAGCATAGTCTCCTCCAAAGCCTACCCCATGCCCTTTACCATATGTGTTTAGAGGAACCAAGGGGGCTGGGCGTGGTGACACACACCTGGGAATCCTAGCATTCAGGAGGCTAGGATAGGAGGATCACCAAGAGTTCGAGGCCAACCTGGGCTGCATAGTTTAAGACCCACATGAACTACATAGATAGACCCTGTCTCAAACAAACAAACAAACAAACAAAACAAAACAAAACAAAACCAAAAAAAGAAAACCCAAAATAAACCAACAACAGTAAAGGAACCAGAGGAATATGTATTCAGCATACTGACCCACGGTCCCTTGTCAAACAGTGTTATTCTGGCCTTTAACCTTGGGACTTCATTACATCTATCCTGATGTGTTCTTTTCAGACATTAGTGTGTAAGTCTGAAACGCTGTGATTTTTGTGTTTGTAGACATGCCTCTTCACGTCCGACGAAGCAGTGACCCAGCGTTAATTGGCCTCCCAACCTCTGTCAGTGACAGTGACTTCTCTGAAGAGCCGTCCAGGAAAAACCCCACTCGCTGGTCCACCACAGCTGGCTTCCTCAAGCAGAATGCTGCTGGGAGTCCCCAAACCTGCGACCGGAAGGTAACCACCTGCTGTCCCCTGGGCACTGAGGGTGTGGGTAGGCACTGAGGGCACCAGGCCCTGTCAGGTGCAGTCTTTATACCCTGGCATCTGCACTGTGCCCTTTGCCTGGGTGCCATCAACCTTTACATCAAAGTTCAGGTAGCCTCCTCTTTTACATCTTGCCTGAGTTTGCTTATAAAATCCAGTGCTAGATAGGACATTTATGTGTCCATTGTTTAAGTTTATAATATATTCTTGTGATTAAAGAAGGGGGACTCTGAACATGAAATGTACTTCTGTCTCCTAGTCACCTCTGTTTCTGCTCATAGGCAACTTCTTTTTTGGCTCTTTATGTATCCTTACAGGGAAGTTTTGCATATATACGGTATATGATAAATCTTTCATTTAATATTTTAAAAATTATTATAGTAAAAGACACATTGCTGCAAATCCCACTCAGAATACTCCCTTTCGGTTTGAACACACTGTACATCATTCTTGCCACTTAGAGCAGATGTGTCGTCAATTTTTGTGGCTGTCTTTAGTTATACTGCCCCGGCTACCTCGATGTCCTAATTAATTATAAACATTTACCTTTGATGGTCATTTTGACTTTGACAAAGAGCCAGAAATCATACGGCACCAGATCTGGTGAATACAGTGGATGAGGACACGGCCTCATGTTTTTACGAACTGCCTTTCTGGTGGGTGCCACTCGGCAGCAGTATTCGTCGTAGTTTCTATCACACCCCATAAAGAGAACTTCTGGGACTGCTTTAGAAGTGGTAGGGCTGATGACATAAGTGTGTTCAAAGTGAGGGGAAATTGTAGAGGGGGATTAGTGATGGCAATGTGTCTTTTACTGTAATACGATTTTTAAATTTAAACACTCACTGCATATTTTGATCACACCAAGTGTAAGTATACTGGCTCATGCAATAGAGTAAAAATGCACAGCATTGTGGACTCTGAGGATGAAAATGGACCCCATGGTCCTCCATTCTGACTGCTCAGTTGATCATTATCCCCTCAGTTTCTCTCAAATGCAGCTGTGCTGTCCACTTTACTGCAGTTGGCTTCCTTGACCCAGTTTATTTAGTGTAAATAAATGAACCTCACGTAGCCTAAATTTTAGGCTACATTTTTTTTTGCTTTTGTTTTTTAACTTTGCTTTTGTTTATTTGTTTGTTTTTTTGAGACCAGGATCTTGCCATGTGTATATAGTGTGGGCTGATTTTGGCCTTACTGTGTAACCTAGGTTGGCCTTGAACTCAGTACAACCCCCCGTGTCTCAGCCTCCCAAGGGCTGGCTTTAAAAGCTCATTTGTTAATAATGCCCTTTGTCATCTGTTCCCACAGAGCCCTTACCATCCCACCCCGTCATAGCTCTAGCTTTTACGTAATGTTTGTCATTTTCACTGCTGAATCTGTGTTGAACCGATGCTCAGTAAATATGCGTTAAAAAAGGTGACAAACATTTTTCAACATAGCCAGTAATTTAGTCACTTATATAAAGAAAAGTGTGGAAATAATACTAATCACATTAATACCAGAATGGATGTATATTAAAGTTTGCCTGTTTTATCCATTTCATCTGTGCAAAATGCCTATGAACTATTTTTTGTACTTTCATCTTGCATTTCAACAAACTCTGCTTTGTATTAGTTCAAGCAAAAGAAAATACACAGAATAGAGTTTAAACTGAGTAGACTCTGCTGGCATAAATGTGTACTTTTAAGTTTTTGATGTTTTCTTTTGAATTAGAGACTGAAGTGTTTGCCTCAGTCTCCAGAAATATTTTGTGATTATGTAAGGAAACCTGTTGGAGTTTCCTCTCATTCAGAAGAGTTTATTATGCAGTAGACCACCCAAAGGAGATCCATTTATGACTAGTCCTCATGACCTTTAATATTTGTTCAAATGGAACCAGTTTTTGTTATTCACAAAAGCCTAAACGAGTCAAGCTTGCAGTTTTAAAGTGTTAATTTTTGGTAGAGTTTCATTGAGTTGGCATTAAGGTCCTCAAGGTTTATTTTTAAGTCTTTCAACATCTTGGGTATATGAATCACCTTCATTTTGCAGTAAATAGACCCATGTTAACAACAACAACAAAAAACAGCTTGATATTTATAATTTGTTTCTTGCAAAATCATTGGGAGGATTTACAGTCCTGGTGGGCCCTGAAGAGCCAAAGAACTTTGGACACTGCACATCTGGCCTGTCCCAGGATGGGACGTTGTGGCCCACCCTTGAATCTGATATGCAGGCTCCAGTTTGGGTCTTGACCCTGGCCTCCTGGGTCCAGAGAGCTAATGCTGGCTTCTGGATCTGAAACAGAGGGAGGTGCACGGGGAGGTGGAATGCTTACTGCCAGCTACCAGTGCCTGCCTTAGTGGATTAACTGTAAATTAGATGTATCCACCATTGGGAAACATTGGGAAACTAGAGAAGAACAGAATAAAATCATCCATGACTCCAAAACCCAGAAACAACCAGTACTAAAGTGTTAGCAAACACACATACACGTGATTGGAATCAGGCTACATCTATGTATTTGCATCTTAATTATTTGCATTTTTTTCATATCAGAGGGAATTATTTGTGAACTTAATTAGAAGATATTTATATGGAATGTAAACTTTAATTGTAGGTATACTCTCATTGATTTATCATTCTCGCATGTTAGACATTCATACTACTTCTATTCAGTCCCATTATAAATATCAGTGTTGTGAGAATCCTTGAATATAATATTTGCCTCAGAAATTGCTACATATTCAACAAGATTTCTTCCTATATGAAGTGATATTTCACATAAACAAGTAGCCACACTTTCCCACAGGAAAGACCTTGATCTACATAAATCTCTAGATAAAATCATATTCACATCCAGTACAGGTAAAGGGCAATATGTAAAGAAGTAGTTTTGAGTTTCCTTTTGGTTAAGTTTTCATATACTAATTTACTAATATTTACATTTTATGCTGTTTATATTTTAGTGTGAGGATTATGTGCATATACATACTGAATTTTATACTATATACATACATATATATATACACACCTACATAATTCAGTTCTACCTTATTTTTAGTTATAAAGGGCCTTTCCATCTTTTCAGTATTCAGGAAAGAGGTTAGAAGAAAACATACTTGCTGGGTAGATACAAACCATTAAATACACTTCTTTCTGTTGAGTTCAGGAAAGGTTATCTGTGCTAGTTAATTTAAGATATTACCAATTCTTACCAATTCACAATGGTTTAAATTTTCTGTGTGAAAAGATTACCGTAAATGTTCATTGTCTTGAGAGTGACTGGTCCTTCATGGTGGAGCAGGAGGTCTAGAATGTCTGTCTGCATAGCGGCTGGGACAGTTCATCCTGGTTGTTTGAACACCAGTGTCCAGCTCTGGCCTGTGACACCTCAGCACAGGTGAGTGGAGTGGCCGTCTGAGCTGCCGCAGTGACAACACCCGCTTCCTGATGAGATGAATGGTGCTATAAACAGACTGATGGCGCTAAGCCAGCCAGGAGGTTGGAGAGGCCAAGGGCTCTGTGGGCTGCTGATTTCTCAAAATGTCTCCTGCTTTTCTCTGGAGGCGGGGCAGAGAGGGGAAGGGTCTTGCTCTTGTCGGAGTTCTCTGGGGCCTTCCCTCATTCCTGTTTCCAGTACTTTGTGGCTGGCTGCCTTTTCAGCTGCTTTAGAGAACATTTTACTCACACTTTATGTGGAAGGTATTTTGCTAGAAGCTGTGTTTTCATTTGAAATTTCACATGTAGTTAATGTCTCATTTTGGGGAAAAATGTTTTTGTCCCTGCGAATGTTGAAATCTTTTTGGTACTGCTTTGGTCATCCTCGTTCTGTGAGTGTCGCTGTGACTCAGTGGGCCATGGACCATGCAGAACCGCTGGTCCCTCCCTTTGGAAACATGCAATGGGGCGCCCAACAGAGGAGGCCCACAGTGACACCCCAAGGACCATGACCAGGCATTATTTTCATTGTGTGACTGTCCCAAGCCTTTGCTCTTTCTGCCTGAATATTGACAGGTGTTGCTTTACTAAGTTATATACCCTTTTCCCTTAGAAAAAATGAAACACAGGTAGATTTAGCATAACAAGTCTGTTAACAAGTTTCCGAGAGAAATTCTTATCTGATTAGGGAAAGTGATAACGAAAACATGTTGTGTTGGCATCATATC